TCAAAATTTAGCTCAGAATCTTTATCAGGAAATTCTTTAACAATCTCTTCTCTGAGTTTGTCTTGAATTTCTTGATCTTTGGACAAATAATACAATATCCAAGACATCATAACACCAGTTGTCTCATGTCCTGCTATTAAAAATGTCATAATCTTGAAAATTTTTTTTTAGTAAAAAAATAATAATAATTATAAAAAAATCATTTCCTTCATTTTCTTTGCAATAACAACTACCTGATTTCTTATTTCTTCAAAACTCATTTGTTCATTGTTATCTATTTCCTGTCCATAACTAGCTTTCACCAAAACACTTATCAAATCATTGCTATCCAATTTACCTTTTTTCAATTCATCAAATTTATCTTGAACCAATTTCCTTGTAATTTTTTCAATTTCAATTGAAGCATTTTGGGTATCTTGATTTATTTTTAATGGCAGCAATCTCAATATGGGCAAAGCAAGTGATAATAAATTAAATGCAGACCCATATTTGTGATCAAAAAGAGTGCTTAATGAGTCAGCAAGACTTGATGAGTATCTTATTCCAAAGGTATTATTTTATTTATGCATCCTGTTATTATTTTTATAATATTACTAATAGTAATAAATTAATTTAGGATACACCAATTTTTGTACCAATTTATCAAATTCATCATTCACCATCAATTTGGGGTGAAGATGTTGAAAAATTTAATCCATCACGTTGGTTTACAGAAAAGGTTAAAGGTCTTACTCATTACAATTTTATGCCATTTTCAGCTGGGCCAAAATCATGTATTGGTAATAGGCTTGCATTAAATGAAGCAAAAGTTATCTTGTGCAATTTATTAAGAAACTTCCAGTTCCATGAAGTCAAAGGTTTCAAAGTTACAAGTAAAGCAAATATGACTCTTAGACCTGACCCCACTGTGAAGTTGTGGGTCAATGAAATTGATTATTAATTAGTGGATAAAAATGAATGTTATTATTATTATTATTTATTTCTTTATTAAATACACTCAAATCGGGTAGACCTTTGATTCCATATTAATATGTTTATTTTTTACCAAAAATCAAATTTTTTACAAATATTCAAAAATCAATTTACAATTTATTTCGTAATTATTTCAGATTATTTCAAATACTTGTAATTATTTCAAATACTTGTAATTATTTTGGATACTTGTGTTTATTTTGAATATAATCATTTCAAACATTTGTTATGATAATATTGTGACAATTCATAAATGATTGTTGATTGATAAAAAATAGTACAAAATTATTTGTAAATTATCTTACTATATATATAACAAACATTTTTCAAATATAACATATTTTTACACAATTAAAAAAATATTTGTTCAGAAAACCTTTTCATTTAAAAAGTAATTCTTTCAAAACTTGCAGGAAATTTTTCCTAATACTTCAATTATATAAATCATTTTTAAAATGTCATAATATTCTTACACCTGATAAAAAATGATGGTAATTTTTTTGATTTGTATGATTGATATACAGTATATAATTTATTAATAATTTTTTGATATGGCTTGAAATGGAACAATCAAATTGATGATGTCCAAAAAGAAACTATCAATTAAAGAACAAGAAAAAATTAATAATAATCTGTTAGAATTTATGCAAGTATCTGAAATAATGAACATTCAAAATAATAATAATTACAAGTATCCGAAATAGTTACGAGTATCCGAAATAATATTCGAAATTCGTAATTTTGGATTTACGAATATTCGAATACGGAATCATAATTACGGTTAGGAACCCTAAGTTATTGATTATAAAAATATTATAAACGAAAACAAAAAAGTCCACTGTAATGAGTTTTGACTGTTATTTTGTTTCGTAAAATTATATAATTAGACTTATAAATAAATAAATGGACGAGACTCCTTTTTTATAAAAGTAATGTTAACACCATCATCAACATATTTAATAAACTGGATATTAAATTTTTATTATAAAAATATATGCAAACAAAAATAATTAAAGGATATGAATCAATGAACGGACGGAATAAATGTTTATGTGAAAAGAGGTAGTTGATGATTATTTAATACACATAGATTTATATATTGCGAACTCAATTCTATGGTAATTATGTCAAAAACAAAAATTACCCCAGGACCAGAACGTTTATAAGTATTGACACATAAAAAATAATTACATTCCAAATAGTGTTGTGTTATGAACAATTATTTGTTTGAATGAAGGAACAAGAACATGTAATAGTAACAAAATTTTTACCAATCAAAATCGTGAATTTGATAACGTAAAAATAAATGTTGGTTTGATTCATTTTGTCAACAGTTGTTTCGTTAACAAATGGTTCGAATTTAAGAAGTTGAAAGCAACCATGCGACAAACCTTTGAAATAGTCTAATAAATTAAATTGTACTACTCGAAAATGTATTTAAAGGGTTGGTTTTCGACTTGGTTG